CGTGATCTTGTAGCTGAAGTTGATGATGTTGAGGGTCCTGCAGTCGGCCTGGAAGTAGCGGGAGGTGTAGTAGAGGGTGCGGGTGATGTGGAAGGGCACGAAGCAGATGGCAAAGACGGCCAGCACCACAATGATCATCTTGATGGAGCGCCTCTTGTAGGAGGGCATGCGGAGGCCGGGGCTGGAGAAGCTGGGCTTGCAGAGCCGTTTGGCCATCAGGCAGTAGCACAGCACGATGACCAGGAAGGGCACCCCGAAGAGCAGGGTCATGATGGAGGAGCTGTAGTGCACGTAGTGGTCGAACTCCTCGGGCTTGGTGGTGTCGTGGCACAGGGTGGTGTTGCCCTTGGAGCTGGTGGTGACGAAGATGAGGTTGGGGATGAGGCAGATGATGACCACAAGCCAGGCGGCCATGCAGATGATGCGGGCGTGCTTGGTCTTCACCCACTTGAGGGAGCGGATGGGGTGGCAGATGCCCATGTAGCGGTGCACGCTGATGCAGGTGAGGAAGAGGATGCTGCTGTAGAGGTTGGCGTAGAAGAGGAAGCGCACGATCTTGCACAGCCCCGTCCCGAAGGGCCAATTGTTGCGGTCGGCGTAATAATAGACGAGGGTGGGCAGGGACAGGACGTAGAGCGTGTCCGAGAGGGCCAGGTTGACCATGTAGGTGGTGGTGGCGTTCCAGGGCCTCATCCTGGAGATGAACATCCACAGGGCCCAGGAGTTGAGGGGCAGCCCCACCACGAAGACGATGCTGTAGGAGACGGGCAGCAGGATGAACTTGAACTCCTCGTTGAAGACACACTTAGCCTCGGGTGCTGCTGTGGTGTTCCCCCCTGGCCAGGGAGCCGGCGTCGGTGTCCTCAGGGAAACCGGGAACATCCTCACCGGAGTGGCCATGGTGTGCCAGCCAGACCTAGGGAGCAGTTCACAAAGCACGCTAGTCACTGATCCCGACCATTGTCAGGCACAAAGCGTGGAAAGGAGCCAAAGCTGCCAGATTCTCTCCCCCTCCAGGAGCTCCGGCCACTTTGATGGTTCTCTGGTTTTTCTCAACTCGCACGAGGGGAGCAGGCTCGGCAAAGCCTCCCCTCTGCAGCCCCTGCACTGACACTTATTAACCAACCATTAATCACCCATTAATTACTCCTTTGAGTTGGCGCAGGGACGGCAGCGCTGCGCGGAGCCTG